TTACTAGAATATTCACTCTTGGGATGCTGAGCCATCGTGTAAGAAGTCCATTCACCTGAGGCTACCATGTTGTGAAGAAATCCTAGTGACACGAAGAAGGTTCTCTGATTGACTGTCCCAGCTGACTCTAGCCTTTGAGGCATCCTAGCCACGGTGCCAGATATGTGAGGGATTGGCTTCTAGATGATTCTAGCCCCCGTATAGCCAGGTATTACCATCTCAGGCCGCACATCATGGGAGAGAGTGAAGCCCTCCGTGTTTGCCATGTCCAAATTCTTGGCACACAGAGTCCATGAACACATCACAGTGGACCTTGCTTTCTGTCACTACATTTGGGACGGCGCTCCACAGGATGGGGTAACTGGAACAGCACACCTCGGGTATCTGAGCTACACGTTTTTGCTCTTTTCCAGAAGCCATGTTGTCAGTTGAAAGGATTCATATTCTTATTTGGGTCTTGCTCTGAGATGGCTCATTTCATTCAGTTGCACTGACAAGGAGTGTGAAGGATGTGCCCTACCTAGGTTTGATCCTCTCACAGAACTGAGTTTGAAATGGCCTTTATCACGCAAACATCTTTTAAAATTTTTATTTTATGGACAGGGTTTGGGAACCAGTTGCATCTCCAAGCCTTCCAAATTTCCGAGTCTCTGACACTTTGGAGAATCTTGGATTCTCCAATGGAGAATCTTTTTTTTTTTTTTTTAACTTTGTATAAACCAGCTACGCCTTTGTGAAACTGTTTTGTTTTTTTTTTTTTCCTTGTAATAATGCACCCAATGCAGCCAAGAAGTAGCCATGCTACATATTTTGTTTTCCAAGTTCGTCTCCTAGGGGCTCATGTTCATTAAGTTTGTGGCCTGCCTTCCAAGTTACGTAGAGTGACATGAATAATAATGGTTCTGCCACTGCATGACATAAATTTTCACCCTTCTTACCTTTGAAGATTTTACTACCACTCACCCCTTAACAAATACCCAACTGTTTTTTTTTTCTTTTCCTTTTTGTTACTCCTTCTCTAATACTATTTTTTAAGTTACTGACTCAGTAATTTCCTATGCTAACAAGTGGAGGATTATTCCAACTATTTTGGGGAAGGGGCTGGGATTCCCAGGAACTGAGCCACTGCTCACTTTTTGACCTTTTTATAAAAGTTAAATTTATAACTTTATTATAAAAGTGTGTAATAAAAAGAACTTCAAAATGTCAGCGTCTTAAAACAACAAAGGTTTATTCTTGCTCACACTACCAAGCCATGCTGGACTGGCTGGGAGCTAAGCCCGTGAGGTCCACATTTGGGAACTCAGACTGTTAGAGCAGCTACCATTTGGAGTATTTGCTGTCATGGCACAGGAAAAGAGAGGCCCAGAGGGTCTCAGTTCCAATTAAATTCTCTGTCCCAGATGTGACACACTACACTTCCACCCGTGATTCTTTGGCCAGAACAAGTCTTATGACCCAACCATCACAAGCCAATCAGGATGTGCAATCCTAGGATGGGCCTGGAAGACAAGAGACCTATTTGCTGACAAGCAGGAACAGCCAGCACAGTGCACAAGGCATCAAGATGCTCACAAATGAGTAAGGAATCAACAGACCCAAACTGGAGAAAAGCAGGAGTCTGGGGAAGTACGCAGAGCTACTTTTCCTCCAAAGACACTTGCCGAACCCAGGACTGGATCTGTTTTGATTGCTTCAGGGACCCTGGGGGAACAGAAGACAAACCATATCACTTTCAAGGTAGATAGTCAAAGGATGTTAACTCAGGGTTGGGGAGAATCTCAGGTAAACGCTTGGCACCCCTCGTCTCCATCTGCCAGGGACTGCTTGCAAAGTCCTGCCCTATTGCACAGCATGGAAGATGGAACATTTCCAGGAGCTCGTAGCAGTTAACAGTTGTGCACCCTTTCATCCCAGCTCAAAATCAGGACCTCAGAGGGAAACACACTTAGTGGATGAACCAGAAAAATTAAAAAAACCCACCTAGTGAAAGGCAACTTGCCTTTTTAGGGCTTGGCTCTAATTGGAACAAGGAGGGGAAAAAAAGAGGAAAGAGTCAGAGAATTAGGAGGTGGAAGAGGAGAAAAGGGAAGAAGAAGAAGGAAAAGAAGAGAAAGAAAACAAAGTTAAAGATGAAGTCAAAGAAAGAAAGGGAGGTGGGGAGAGGGAGGAAGTAGAGGTGGGAGGAAGGAAGAGAAAGAAAATAGAGACTAACCACGTGCCCTCAACCATACAGGTTTGACATTAGCATTTCTTGTGTGTGTGAAAAAAAGTCAAGAACTTAGTAAAAACGTACTTTATACATGTATAACCACAAAGGATCTGTGTCCAAAATATGCAAAGAAATTCTACCAATCAACAACAACAAATCTGATATAAAAAATTGCCAAAGAGCAAGCATCTCCCAAATTGGAAAACATACAAGGGCAATAAACACACATATGATAGATTATCAGACTCATGAGTAACCAGGGAAATGCGAAGTAAAACCACATTGAAATTGGTTTTCCCCTCTTAGGCACCCCCTCCAGCTGTCCTGGACACCCTGGCATCTTGCTAGACCTGGCTGCCTGCGACATTGTGAACTGCCGGCTTAGTGCTTAGAATGGTGGAGATGACCAAGATTCCACTGACCCTACACCTCATTGAAAATGAAAAGCCTCTGAAAATGTTAAACACTGGAAATAAGACATTCTTCAAGAAATAGTCTAAATCACATCTTAAGATAATCTTGAGATGAATCACATCTCATCACATCTTAACAAGAGTGAGAGGAAAGACCCAGCTGAGGGTGTGGAGTCCTCTTACAACTCATACTTGAGTTTACCTTGTTTTTTGGGGAGTGGGGGGGAGGCAATCAGTTTATTTATTTATGTATTTATTTATTTTCAATTTATTATTGAAACCAGGACCTTGTGCATGCTAAGCATGTACTCTACCACTGAACTATACCCTCCTCCCTCCCACCCTCCACCCCCAGTTTCCTTGAGATGAAAGCAGGAGGAGAGTTTCCCATGGTTTGGAAAACATCCAACAGTTATGGAGATGGTGAGGCATTGTTCTGCTGAAATGTCCTTGGGATGTTAATGATACAGGAAAATGTGGCATGAGAGGATGGCCATGTCCCAGGTCCCAGGCGAGTCCCTGGGACACACTCCATCCATTGAGGGTCCTTGGCTTCACATAGGAAAGAATTCAAGAGGGAGCCATGGTTGAGTAAAAGTAGATTTATTCAGAGAGAGGCACACTCCACAGACCGAGTGTAGGCTGTCTCAGAAGGCCAGAGAGCCCACAGGGCGTGGGAGGTGACACACTCTCCATAGACAGGGCGTGGGCCGTCCTCGAAGGCAGGAGAGCTTGACCACGAGATGTGGGTGGTCAGTTTTTATGGGCTCCGTATCTTCCTATGCTAACAAGTGGGAGGGTTATTCCCACTACTTGGGGGAAGGGGCTGGGGTTCCCCTTTGTGACCTTTTGTGGTCAGCCTCGGACCAGTCACAGCACCTGTGGGAGTGCCATTTCTGTGCTAGTGTATCACACTGAGCGTACAGTGAAGCTCAAGGTCTAAGGAAGTCAAACCTCCAGCCACCTTGGGCCTCAAGGTCCACTGGGAGTCGAATCTTCAAATTGCTGTGTCATTCGTTCAACGGCTGTGACCTGCCCCTTTCCCTCCCACCTTATTAGGAAGAGTTGAAAGTGAATAGAGATTCTTAAGTTCAGTGTAAAAAAAAAAAAAAAAAAAAAACAACCCATTCTTTCGGTCCCCCGAGAAGGAGAGTGCGCAAATCCAGCATCAGAGGCCATCTCCCGATCATTTACCAACCTGATTCCTCATCTGGGAGGGGCAGGGGGGTGGGGGGCCAGGGCAGCCTTTAGCAGCTTGAACAAGGCCTGAACTTGTCCCTTTTTGCCCTCCGCGTCTCACTTCACCAGAGCCTAGAGAGGAGCTTTCCAGAAAGTATTATCTCTGAAAGAATGTAAGGTATTCAAACAATGTAATTATCAGAAATTAACAAAAGCTGTTCTATACTCCAACCGCTTCTTTTATTATTTTCCAACCAGAGATTAATTAAGCCATGTGGGGACTATATTTAGTTGATCCGCTAAGATGGCCCACACTCCAAGTCAGCTGTCAGGCTGCAATGAAGCCCTTACGTCCTCGGTGGAGAACAGTTCCCGGAGCTTTGACTCCTCGCACTTCAGCATGCCCTGTGGCTGGAGAAGCAGGCTCCAAGTTCAAAAGCACATTCCCGAACAGGTGGAGGCAGTTGGGATAGAGCCGTAAACACCTGATGGAATTCGGCTGTAACCAGCTTTAAGCGGAAACTCCCAGATTGAAATCCAGGTCTGACGGATGCCAAAGCATTCATTGCTTTCCGAGTCAAGTCTCTTTCTCATAGGAATCTTCTGCAGGTGCTCCAGGATTGAGTGAAATTTTAGACTTGAGACCACAAGGTCTTCCGGAAGGGCACCTCCCTGCATCCTCTCTGAAGCGAGATGACTAAGAATTAGCTGTAAACGTGGCCTTCATGCTCCTTGTTAAAGCCAAATGTTTATAATCAGCAGAGTTTCATGGTGTGTAGACATCCTGTGTTTACTGAATGCCCCATTCATCTCATAAGCTCTTTTTCATGTATGTGCATGACCCGAAAGTGGAGGGAAAATGCCCATTCTGGGTACCCATTAGAAAGCAAAGGCACCTGCCGTGGAAGAAGCCGCCTTAGGCAAACTGAGCCAAGAGTGCTTTCCTGCAAGTCCTTCTCTAGGCCTTTAAATTTTGACTCATTCTTCTTCCTTTTTCATGTGACAGACCTCTAATCTTCTCCTGCTCCCCAACCCACCTTCTCATGGCTGAAGTGTACCTGCTCTTTGGCAGATGGCTGCGAATGAGATTTCAAAGTCTAAGCATATATTTGCTCACTTAATGTAAGCAACAGAGAACTAAACCTGAACTTTGGAAAAAGCCTATTAATAATTGACAAATAACAGAATTGTCCAGATGTAGAAAGCAATCAGGAGAAAAAAAAATCCCAGAGTTTACAGTAACCCAGGAAGATGTTCAGCCGGCTTGTCTGTGTCAGCGATTATGAACAACACGCTAAATCCATACTTCAGAAGTCTATATACGACTATTATAAATCTGGGGCTAATGACCAGGAAACCTTGGCTGATAATATTGCAGCATTTTCCAGGTAAGAATTTTTTTTTTTTAAATCATGTTTCAAAATTACACAAAGACATTCTCCAAACGCAGGATCTTCCAGTTTGAATGTTGATGGTGTGGAATTATTTGTCTAGATAATCTGCTTCGTAGGAGGGGAGAATTCATAGGGCTGTAAGAAATACTGGGCTTTAAACTGGTTTTGAAATATTCCAAGCCTGAGAATCTTGAACAGCAGACTGAAAAAAACTAACCCTGTTTCCTTGCTTGAACTTGTGTGGATAATTAACTTAACTGTGTCTAAAAATGGTAACGGAGTCTGATGACTGTATATTCATTTTGCCTGAGTAAGACAGTGAGGGTCTAGGGTTAGGGTGTAGGAAACTGCTGGTTGTGCAATGCAAGACAGCCACCTTATCTGGTCGAACCAGATCGCATTGTCGCCTCAAGTGTTCCCATCCTGCTGGCCTTCCATTATCGTTCATTTTGGTTACTGTTGTCTAAACTTTCACTTTAGCTTTCAATTTGTCGTTAATCTTCCAACTTGGCTGTCTCATCTCCTCCAAAGCACTTTGTCTCTCTTCCCAAATTAGTATTCCCGTGACTTTCATATTTCAAAGCACAAGATGGTGGATGGCATGGCTTATGTTTTCTATTTGTAATGAGAAACAAGAAAGGAGTGTGTTTCTCTCCGCAGTGTGGAGATGGTTTACTGGCTGGAGTAAGGCAGGAGAGCCCTCAGTCTTTGAGGCCCATGCATCTTATATTATAGCTTTTAGGAAAGCCAGTGAACACTGTGGGAACTCATCGATGGTGATAAATTAAAGAAAAGAAGCAGAAAGTATCCAGGGGAAAGAATCTGCATCCTTCTTGATTTCTTCGTTAGCCTAAAGCATAATTGCTCAAAATCACTTTTCTATGTGTAAATTAGGAGAAATGAAATCGTTCTAAACCAAGCTGGTCCCTGGCAAGCAGCAGCGATTCACCTGCAGACCCGGGTGGGAACATAAGAGTGGAGTGGAAGGGGGCTCCCCCAAACTCCTTCAAGCCTGGACTTCATCTTAGATCTATCTTCTCTGGAACACAAATGAGATTTTTAAAAATGCTGGGGGAGCCACGGAAAGGGAAAAGCTGGCTAAGAATGGAGCAGCTTAAAATTCTGCATGATCCCCCCCTCCACAATTCTTACGTAATATTTTGGGTCCCTTCAGTGTTTTCTGCTCTTGGAAGATGCCCCATCTCAACTCTGTTCAGCAGGTAATGTGGTTTATCTGTTAGTAGTTGCCTGAAAATAACACTTTAACCCAAATAGATCATTTTAACCAAGGAAATTTCAGAGCCTTGACAGGCTGATGGAACTGGGGCCTTTCAGCACTCCGCAGGTGACAATGCTCAGGTGGCCACCTACTCCATTCATGCGGAGCCTTCCTTGTGCCTTAATGCCCTGCCCCCCTTGCTAGTTGAACTGCTCGCTTACTGGGAATCTCTGTGGACGAGACCAGTACTACATGCTGAGGGTAGAGCAGTGAACCAGACCGAGAAAGTTCTTGTCCGCAGGGGCTTCCATTCCAATGGATACACATTGACCTTCAGCCTTCAGAAGGCTGGAGGGTTGAACTGATGCAAAATGGACCCAAAACAACTGGCCCAGTGGAGACCTCCAAGAGGAAGCAAAGGGGTGCAACAAAGCAGACAGACCACCTCTGCAACCCTAGAAATTCTAGAAACCTTGTGGGACGAAAGAAAGCTGTGGTGACTTGCAAACTGTGGACTAGAAAAGTGCCTCCAGGCTTGTGCGAATCACACAAGGGGGAAACCCCAGCCTGCAGGTGTCCTGAGTAGCTTAGGGACAGGACCCGGATAACAGTGAATGAGTTTTCCCTGCACCTCGATCCTTCTCTTTTGTTCAGCTTTCAAGCGGGGGAAATGCATTAACGACTTCCTCTGGAGGCTGGCTGATGCTCCTTTGTCATCAACCACCCAAGGAGTTTTTATTGCAACAAACGTTACCTAACATCTCAATTCCTCTTTTGTTGTGTAACTTTCATTCTTCCTCCTGTATCATCAAGCTGATGATGTGGAACTAAATAGATGTTCTGAAACCCACCCTGCATACTTTGTAATAGATTCTAAGACCATGGAGAAAAAAAAAAAGAAAGGTGTTCTGCCCCGGGGGGTGGTGGCAGCTTCGGCTTGATGGGATAAAGGTAATCAATCTGAAAGCTCTCATTCTGATCCAAAAGAAGACTGCAAAACAGCCCAACTTCAGAAAACCCCTTGTGACACAAAGACAGGGGATTTTAAAACCACTGGTGAAATTCATACCCCTCCCTGTCTCCAAGTACAACAAAAGATTGTTCACAGTGGCATCTATCTCTGTACTTGGCTGTGACAACCCCGTTTTGGGGTTCTGGGGACAAGGGACACTTACGTGATCCGTCAGTTGCTTGGAGATATTTCTGGGTCAGACTTGGGGGCTCTAATACTGTTGCGCCCACCCCTGATACAAAAAAGGACACATAAAAGTCAAATAGATGGAAACATCTTGAAGAACAAAGCTTCCCATTGCAAACAGGACAAGAACGGAGAAAAAGTCCGTGTGCTCAGTTTTGCATGGCCTGACCGGATAGGAGTTAATTTTAAAAAGAACAGTACTTTGTTTCTCTTACTCATTAACTCAGTGTATCTTTCTCGACCATGGTCTGCAGCTCGTTGTGGCTTCTTGTGAAATTACTGTTGGTGGAAAATAATTCTCTGAGTTGGGTGCTTAGAAGTCCTGTGAATATCAGAAGAGGAGGCTCTCATCCTTGGTGCATCACGGAGTGACACTGAAAATTGTGTGGTTTTCTTTCAAACAGCAGAGTGTAAAAGTGAAATAACTTTCTTACTTTAATATCTGAGAGGCAACAGACACTCACTGCGGCAGAGTTAGTATTCTTTTTGTGGGTGTGAGTGTCACAGAATCATTAGCTTGTTTGCCCAGGGGGTAAGTAAGCTGCTTTTTCTCTTGTGTCGTGAGAAGCAGCTACTTGTCTCCTGTTTTTGGAGATTCATGTGGCAAGAGATTTCATATCTCAGGTCTAGTCTCTCCTCCTCCCTCCTCGCCTTCTCTCCCTCCTCCCCTAAGCCCATTTTAGACCTCAAAGCAGCGGCTTCTCTATCCAGGCAAGTATTAACACACACACACACACACACACACACACACAATTTCAAGAGGTTCATGGGTTTTCTGAAACCTATCTACACAGGGAGGCATTCAAAAAGTGGCTTGGTTATTTAAATATATTTACCGTGCTGTGTTTTCTTTGGACTTAAATTCTTGACCTCCTTATTCCTTTACCAGGGTGCCTCAGAGGCTGATAATGATCCAATTATTTGTTTTAAAGGTCTCATAATATTATCAGTGAATGGTAAGAAATAAGATTACAAAAACTGTGGTATATTTTATATACATATATTCACACTTTATATATTTTACATAATATTATACATGAATGATAAAATAAGATTACAAAAAGTGGTATATTTTATATACATATATACACTTTAGATATGTATACATGTATACTTTATGTGTTTTAAATGCTTAGAGTAAGTAATATGGAGAAATTGGGATTTAATATGATCATCTTACAGGCAAGACTTATGAAATATGAATCCAGTGTGGTCAGTGGGTGGGATTCAGTACCAGCACATGGCTTTAAAGTTGGGTGATGGGTATCTTTCTTCAACACAGTCCCTCCTCTGGGGGAGTGTGTATGTCACCTGAGTGATGATAAATTAAAACTGAGGCCCTTGTTGGGTGTTAGAAGGAGCCCCACTTTTGCCTCCCTTCCTTGAACTCATGAACCCTTTGAAAAAGGTTTGTTATTCAGTTGGCTCAGTTGCTTTGCCAATCTCCATATCCTTTTTCCAAAGTGGAGGTCCCATAAGAACACAGCCCAAGGTCATAGTCAGCTATTGTTTTAGGTAAGATTGTGGAAAAAAAAATCACTTAAACTGGGCATGGGGTTAGTGGAGCCTGGGAAGCTGTTGGAATTGCCTGACAAGGTTAGTTGTCATTGCTGTTTGGGAAAATATCAAAATGTGGAGGACATGTTAGAGAATGTACATTTCCCACTCCACTGATCTCATCTAATTTTGCCTGGGAACTGCATTTTGTGCATTGGTGGAGTGTCTGTAATGTCATCCTCCGGGCGGGAGACAGGAACACTGTTATTAAAGTGACTGCGCCACCACGTGGACAAGCGTGAAACGACTGCCTGGAGATGGAAGGATTGAGCCTTACCCTGTAAAGGGGAACGACATATTTGAAAATGTTCCCTCTGCCTCACAGACAGACAGACAGACACACACGCACACACTCTGATGCCCTGCAGCTCTGTGTGCGACCTTCATAAAAGCTTCATTGTTTCCTCAGCTCTAAGTAAGTACTAAGTCCTTCCAAGGCCAGCACGCCAAGGGCTGCTATTAAATCTTTTTTTCTCACTCTAATAATACACTTAGAGATGACTGGTAGTAAAAACCCTCTTCAAGGCTTCTGCCTCTCCCCTTTCAAAATGGAGATAAAAGAATCACGCTGGGAGGGGCAGCCGAGAAGAGGCGGCCAGCAGCTGAGCACGTGGTGGGACAGAAAATAATGACAATTTTAATGGTCAAAGGAATCGCAGAGAAATCGCAGTCAAACCTTACTATGCTTTGCAGGGGCTGGATGTTTTTTCTTTATTATGTGAGGAAGGGTTGTATGCCGGACCCTTAGCTATTCCTCAAGGCATCATGAAGGCAGAATTTCTTCTTCCACTATAGGAAGTGGGCTTCGATTAAGGCTGTGGCGGTTTGATTTATTTTGGTTACTCCTGTGAATGAAAAATACTGCAAACCGTATCGATAAACAAAGAATGCTGAAGCCATCAAGTCATCAGCAGCTGCCGCCACCGCCCGGTGAAGACAAGCCTGCAGCCTGGCCTCTGCAGCCACACACAATGGTGCCCTTGGAGGTGACTCAGAACAAGAAAGGACAGGATACTGGCCCTAGATAGCTAGGTGCTTGTCAAAGCAATGAATTCAATGAGCCCAAATGTTTGCTCCCTCCCATAGATAGAAAAGCGCTAAACTCTTTAACATGAGATATCTGGTTTTCTTCAGTTAACAAGAAGTATTCTTTTGATGTTCCAGCTACCTGGCCTTTGTTGTAAAGCTCCTATATACCCTGGCTCCTCCCCTACCTCTTCGGAGCAGTCCCTCAGAGCCATCTGAGAGGCTGTCATCCCAGGCTGAGTCCTCAGAATTGTCCACCGAATAAAACATAGCTCTCAACTTTTAGGCTGTGCATTCATTTCAGTCGACACGCTCTTGCCAAATCACACTTCACTGTATTAGCTATGAATCTTGATCTACCTAGAGGCAGAGTTAAATCCAGGTAGCGGAAGGTGATGGTTTGGTGTGTACGTGTGTACTCACCCGTTTAAGGTCTTAGTGCTCATTAGAAATGGGGCCGCATTTTCTTCCGTTTTAATCAGTTACTAATGAGGAGAAAATAATCCTGAACAAATAAAGGGATATAACTTTTGCTGAGAGGACAGAGAACTAGTTTTCCTGTAAATTCGACTAGTTTGATTCTTGGTTTGCTAGTAACTTTCATTGCTACACAAAAGGACTGCAGAAGGAGTAATTTAAGATAATGTTCAGGGGTCAAAAATCCTTTAAGCCCCCAACTCCAGTCTCTGTCAGATAACACTTTTGAGGAAAATGCTCAATTAAAAAAAAACAAAAACAAAACTTCCCTCATCATCATACTTCAATGGATACAGAATTCAGATCAAGGATTTTGAAGAAACCACATTGTAATTTTAAAAGTAACTGCCTGAAGCTACTGTCTGTAAGAAAAAAAAAAAAAGCAGACGAAGTAAACACAGGATATCTTCTTAAATGCTAATCTAATCTCCATGACTTTGTATACCATCTTCATAATGGCTTGGAGGAAGTGAAAGGAAATTCACACAAAAACCTTTAAGTGAATGTTCATAGTGGCTTTATTTATAATTGCCTCAAATTGGAAATGTTCCAAATATCTCTTATCTGGGGGATGGAAAAACAAACTCTGCTACTTTCTTACGATGCAATACAAGTCATCAAGGGAAGGGAACAAATTATCATTCGAGCAGCAGTATGGGTGAATCTCAAATGCCCTAGGCTGGCTAAGTGAAAGCAGCCAGACTCAAAAGGCTACAGACAACAGTTGACCTTTGAACAACATGGGTTTGAACTGAGCACATGCACTTACGTACGGATTCTTTTCATTGGAAGCGAACTATACGATCCTTGGTTTCTTGAATCTGAAACAGGAGATCTGGAGGGTCCGATGGTAAAGTTATATTCAGATTGTCCACTGTGCAAAGGGCTGACCGTGCCCACCTCCTGTTATTCAGGGGTAAACTGTATATGATTCCATTTATATGATATTCTGGCAAAGTGAAACTATGGACCAAAAAAAAAAAATTCAGTGATCTTTAGGGGATTGTTTAGGGGAGAGTTTCACTACAAAAAGAAATGGGGACATTTTTCAGGAGGGCTGAACTGTTCTGGATCTTCATTTTCTGGTTACACCAATATATGTGTCTCTCAAAGAGCAAAAAACTACACTCAAACAGCAAACCCTATGCTATGTTAATTACACCTACAGAGAGCAATGGCTTGAGAAGTTCATTACTAGACTTATTGCTAACTTTCCATGTTAGCAAACATTAAAATTGCCCCATTTCCTTTACCTTTGTAAAGTGATTTGCTTGTTGGGTAAAATACAAAAATATTTTCTCTTTCTAACTCGAACATAATGTCAAAGCTTTGGTTGTGCTTTTGAAATCCTAAACCCTTTTTCTTTCTTTCTTTTTTTTAATTCGAGGTGGAAGCTGTATCCACGGATGCTGCGGAATGTTGCTGAAATAGACCTGTCGACTTCCGTTTTAGGGCAGAGGGTCAGCATGCCAATATGTGTGGGCGCTACTGCCATGCAGTGCATGGCTCACGTGGATGGGGAGCTGGCAACCGTGCGAGGTAGGAAGAAGGTCCTCTCCTGAAGGGATGGAAGGGGACTCATGTGTAGTGACTGCCATCTCTGTAGGCACAGCAAGTAAACACTTTCCCGAATGTTTTTATACTCAAAACAATTAAGTGCTTTGACTGTCATCAAAATGCCTGTTCTTGCATATCCTACTCTCTGACTTTCTAGGGACACTTAGATGTCCCATAATTGGAGACTGGTTGCAAAGAAAAAAAAAATAGGATGCATTAAAAATGGGGGTAAACATTTAAAAATCCTATCATAGAAAGAGTTGAATGACATGGAAATATGTTACAGTATAATAATTTTAAAAAAGCGGTTACGAACAATAGTAAAGTCCTAAGATATATTTATTTTTGAAGACCAAGAATGTAGACAACATTCCACAGGTTTTTATTTTTGAATGATAGGATTACTGCTGACTCTACAATCTTATTTTTGGCCCATATGTGTACAATTTTCTTCAAATTATTTTGTAAGAAGAGAACAATGAAAGCTAAATTTAAAAGAAGGGAGGGGACGGTATAGCTCAGTGGCCGAGAGTGTACTTAGCATACAGGGGGTCCCGGGTTCAATCCCCAGTACCTCCAGTAGGTGAGTAAATAAATAAATAAAAACCGAATTACCTCCCCCTGCAAAAAAAAAAAGAAAAAATTAAAAGATAAAATAAAAAAGAAGGGAGGAAACTGGACAAGGAATCATGGAATGAGTGGAAAGAAGCAAAGGAGTGAAGAGGCAGGAAGCAAGGTCACTCAGTACCCCGCCTCTGGGAGCGTGCACGTGATTCTCACACAGTTCCCTTTATTTGCTATTTGACAGGTGTCGCTCTTCCCCCTTGATGGGCCAAGGGATAGAGTTCCAGGTAAAGAAGGTTTTCACAGTTAGAAACTGACAGTACCTACTCTCCAACTCACTCCTGATGGTTTCAAGATCACTGCCCCTGATTTTTGCTGGGGGTGGGGTGGGAAGAAAAATGAGAAGAAAGCTTACTTAGAGACTCCAATTTCACACCCTGGGCAGGACTATTTCATCTAACATTATTTCCTTCCAGCACTAAGCATGAGGCATTAGTAATATGCCTACCAGAGCCCTACCCCTTTAGGTCTATATATCAGACACTTATAGAAGGGTTACCATATTCTAGGCACTGTTCTAGGTACCTGACAAGTATTACAGCATCCAATCCTCAAGCAGCCCCAAGGCTGATATTAAGCCCATTTTACACATGAGAAACCGAGGCACTCAGCAGAAGCCCAGGATCACACAAGTCAAATGATGGAGACCTAGGCAGTCTGGCTTCTTAACCATGTTTTCCCGATAAGACTGAGTCCTTCAGAAGTCACCTGCCCTTTGGCACCCCCTTCACTGGTCACTTCCCACCCCTCTTTTACCTTCCCCCTCCTTGGCTCACCTTGCATCCTTCCCAAATGAAAGACTCAGGCTCATATCAAGGTCTCATTGTCAGTTTCTGGAAGAAAGCAAACCAAGACAATGGCTGGCTGAATACAGACACGGCCGCAGGCAAATTTAAGTCAGAGTGTAGGGACATTCGTATTTGGTAGGAATTGCTTCCCTTTTCTCAAAACTCAGAAAGTCAACATGAAATTATGCAGCTGATATTTGATTTACTCCGTCCCTTTAAAATGTGGAAATCCTCTCAAGCCAGCCTGATCCTTGGGGAGGTGGCGAAATCCACGGAAGCTGTCGAGGACGTTCCCCCCCCCCCTCCTAATTATCTGGTCCCTAATCAAGCTTGTTTCCAGGGTCTTGGTCCCTCACTAGAAAGAGAAACTGAGGCCAAGTTCAGAGAACAGGGGTCAGTTAGCAGCCATCTCTGGACAAAGTGTCCCCATTAGCCTGGTCAGTAAAAGCAGGTGAAGGCCATTCACATCCCCAGGGAATGGTCTGGCCTGAATTGTTAGAAGGAGCATCTAGAAAGTTCTGGAAGTTTCCAGGGAACCACGGTCTGGCCTTCCCAGCTGGCTCTCCAGACTTCTTCCCAGAGCCCTGCTTCAGGGGTCCCCTGGCCTTTCTTCTCACCGCCGTGGGACACGTCCCCGATCAGAGCTAAGCCCAAGAACAGAGCTCTCTTTTTCACTCTGCGGCTCTGTGGTTGTAGAGTGACCAACGGAGCTACTCTTATTTCATTTTCAAAATGGCAGTGAGCAGAGGGTTGCCAGATAAAATACAGGGAGTCATAGTAGAATTTCAGATAAAACTCAAATCATTTGGAACTGAGGATCCTGTATATTTATTTGCTATGGCTGGCAACCCTAGTTAAATAAGAGCTCTTACCTCTGGAGGTTCTTGTGAGGATCACGTGAGACAAATGCTAGGAAGAACTGCTCAAAACGGGGCTCACCCTTTATTTGTCCCTGAGATTCCAAGTCCCTAAAATATTTCTCTTCCATAGGTTAAAAACTCATTTTCAGAAAAGTACACTCCATTTACATCACAGTGGGAATGAAAATTGCTCTTTCTATTTTGCTAAAGATTTTTGTTTTAAGCTTTATGCAGGAACCTCAAAAAATGGCTTTAAGGGCCAAGTTGGTAATATAAATGTCCAAGGAGAGATGAAGTTAAGAAAACAACAGTAGAAGTTCAGTGGAGGAGACAGTACCAAACCTGAGACTGCAGGTTCCTGTGAAAGAGGGCAGACGTATCTTGGCGCTAGCTAACTGATGCCCCGAGGGAGGGAGGACGTGAGGTTGCCAAATCTTCAGAATTTTTAAGGGAAGCCAGAAACCTTGATTTTTATGTGCAATCTCCTGGTTTTTAAATATTGGCCAATAAATCAAAATTCTTTAAAGCACTGTTCGGGGCAACAACGTGTGGGCCAAAGCAAATACTTTTGTGGGCTACAACTGTCCCCTGGGCTGTCCGGCTGGGACATCTGATTTATGTGGAAATTCACCACTAGCTGGTTTCACTTCTCGTGGCGAGTCATTTTCACTCTCTAGGATTACGTTTCCTCACTGAAAAAGTAAGCTGCTTACTCGAGATCAGTGGTTTGCCTCCGGTGTCCCGAGGAGGCTGGGGTTGTTTCTGAGCATCTCAGAGAAGTTAAATGTGTCACTGAGCACGCAGCAACTTGTGCTGTGTGTTTGGATCCAAAAGAACAGCTCTTTAAAAAAGAAAGAGTTCTGCTGCTAAGACAGAACCAAGAAAAAACCTCCACAATGAGAACACTCAGAAATAGAAAGCAGAAAACTCCCAACAGGAATAGATGGTCTTTAGAATTTTCTTTTCAGTATATCAGTGAATGGTTTTGTGCCCTTTTGAAATGTCATCAAATAGACATAATGCAGTGAGGATCTGAGTCCACTGGATTTTCATGTCTCATACCTGCATCCTTGGGATAGAGGAGACTGAGCAGGTCTGGATTTATCTCTGGTTCCACTGAAAACAAATAGGTATTGAGTAAATGCAACATAAATTTAAAAAGTTATACTTCAGTCTTGTGAAAAATGATGATAGCTAACATTTATCTGGCAATTAATGTGTGCCGGGCAATTTGAATTTATTAACTCATGTACCCTGGACCACTGTCTTAAAATGTGTGAGCCCAAAGCCCTAAGGATCTTTCTCCAGCTACTGTAGATGTGGAAACTAGGGCCTGGAGAGATTAAAAGCCTTACTCAAGGTTCTTAATCACTTACACGATGCTGTCCATAATACCCTGGTCAGTTACTGAGATTTCCAAATGCCATTAACTGCAGCAGGACCCCTAAGGCACGCTCTATGCTATCGCCTTGGAATATTAACTGCAAATGTTCTATGTTTTTACAGTTTTATGCCTTTAGTTTTGAGGGGATGGAATGAGCTACAGAATGTGAAACTTGTTAGGAAATAAGAGCCTTGTGCAAAATTCAGGAGCATAGATGAAGGGGATTGAATTTGAAACAAGCAGAAATTAAAACTCCTAAAACTCTTTAAAGATGGAAAGAAAATAAGCAGGAAACACTGAATGGAGAGCAGTTTGTCATGCATTGTGTTATGAATAAGAGATTTATTGCAGTGGATGATTTAGCTGATATTTTAGTAATTGACATTATAATATTTAAGCTGTCATATAAATGCCTCTTCTTATAAATGGCACAGCCGTTTGGAAGGCCGTTAGATTGGTTTTTGATTTTTAAAATTTTATCCTTCATAGAAGCCTCAGGGATGAATACAGGATCATTTCTACAAAATATTTAACATATTGAAGGAAATAGCAATAATAAACATAAATGCTAATATGTATGTAGAGGAGGTGGTCTCATTAGGTTAAATTTCCATTTTCAAAATAAGCAGAGATTCTCTGACGTCTCAAAGAACCAATGAACAAAATGTTTACTATACCACTGAGGCTTTTAGGACATTATGATGGAACTCTGGTTTTTATGCACAGTGGCTGTAATAAAATTTTATTTCATTCTCCGTGGAGGTACGTTAGTTCTTTTGCTCCATTTAATCATGGGAAATCAAAAAGAAAAGGAAAAAAAAGAATATTTATTTATCCTTTTGCTTCTGACTTGTTATGTGGACGAATGCCACATGAGGGAGTGCTGGGACCTCAAATAGAGAAACATTAAAACCTACCTAATGCGTTCCAGGAATGCTCGGCATATTAGTAAATTCTTATTAAACTGTCAGAAAAAAAGAGATTTTAAAAAGAAATTCCTGCCCCTGGATGCAATTAGAGGCTACCACACAGGATTTGATGGGCCATAAAACCATTAAATCTAAACACTTTCTTTTAGAGCCTAAAAGACCAGAACATTCCTAAGTGAAGTTTTGGGACTCAGCTCTGATTTGACCACCTATTAAGGCGCAGGTGGAACAGATCGCAGAGTAACACAAAGAGCCACACAGACCCAAAGAACTGAATTAGGGTGTAGGTGAGAGCTTTAGCTGTTGAATTTTCTGGATTTTCCGAGATTATGGGATCAACCTTAACACTGAGTGAAAGACCATTCAGCAAGAAAAATTGTCATTTCCTTTGCTCCAG